CGCCACTACCACCCTCGCCCTCGATGCTGCCGTCGCCGCCACGACCACCCTCGCCACCGCAGCCGCAGCCGCCACCGCCGCCGGCGCCTCACCGCCACGTACTGTCGCCGCCATCCTCGCCGTCGCTCGCCGCCGCCACTATCGCCGCGGCCCCCGCCACTGCCGCCATCTCAGTCTGCCCTCGCTGTCGCCGCGCCGTCACGCTGGCCTTGCCGCAACCACCCTCGCCCCCTCCCTCGCCGTCGCTGCCGTCGTCACCGCCCTAGCCGCTGCCGCCGCTGCCGCCACTACCACCCTCGCCCTCGCTGCTGCCGTCGCCGCCACCGCCACTCTCGCCACCGCCGCCGCTGCCGCCACCGCCGCCGTCGCCTCACCGCCACGTACTGTCGCCGCCATCCTCGCCGTCGCTCGCCGCCGCCACTATCGCCGCGGCCCCCGCCACTGCCGCCATCTCAGCCTGCCCGCTGTCGCCGCGCCGTCACGCTGGCCTTGCCGCAACCACCCTCGCCCCCTCCCTTGCCGCCACTGCCGTCGTCACCGCCCTAGCCGCTGCCGCTGCTGCCGCCACTACCACCCTCGCCCTCGCTGCTGCCGTCGCCGCCACCGCCACTCTCGCCACCGCCGCCGCCGCCGCCGCCGCCGCCGCCGCCGCCGCCGCCGCCGCCGCCATCGCCGCCGCCGCCGCCGCCATCCTCGCCGCCACCCTCGCCGTCGCCTCACCGCCACGTACTGTCGCCGCCATCCTCGCCGTCGCTCGCCGCCGCCACTATCGCCGCGGCCCCCGCCACTGCCGCCATCTCAGTCTGCCCTCGCTGTCGCCGCGCCGTCACGCTGTCCTCCTCGCTCTCTCCGCCGCCAAACTCGCCGCGGCGCCCTCCCTCTCTCCGCGGCGACCTCGTCCTCGCCCTTGCCGCCCCACCCCCGTCGCCGCCGCCGCCGCCGCCGTCGCCGCCGCCGTCGCCGCCGCCGCCCTCGCCGCCCGTGCCTCACCGCCCACCCGGCCGGCGTCAGCCTCGTGAGCGGCGAGGTGCAGGTCGTCGCGGCGGACGGCGTGAGCCTCGCGTACCCCGGCACGTACGGCCTCCACGGGTGCGACCCGCACGACAGCGGGCTCGAGCCATCCTGCAGCTCCACACCGGCTACCCCGGCTGATGCGAGCACGAGTGGTGCTACGTCGACCCGGCCGCGTGCAACGCCGAGTACAGCACGACCGCGTACGTGGTGGGCGCCACCCTGCACTCCTCGTGCCGTGCGTGCGGCTTCAGCAACGAGTTCGAGAGCTGGTTCTACCAGCCGCCGTCGCCGTCACCGCCGCCTTCGCCGCCGCCGCCCTCGCGTCGCCGCCGCCCTCGCCCCCGCCCTCGCCGCCACCAACGGCTCCGCCGCCGCCCTTGCCGCCGCGCTCGCCATCGCCGCCCTCCCCCCTCCCTCCTCACCGCCACCGCTGTAGCCGCTTGCGCCCCGCCGCCGCCCGTGCCCCCGCCGCCGCTCTCCGCCTCTGCAGTCCTCACCGCCGCCGCCCTCCGCTGCCCTCCGCCACTCTCCGCCGCCGCCGCCGCCCTTGAGGGACCGCCGCCTCCGCCTGTCCGCCTGCTCCTCTGCCACACCGCCTTCTCTGCCGTCAGTTACGTCCATCAGCCCTTCGTCGCCGAGCGTCTGCCGTCCCTCTCCTCTGCAGCCAGCTGCCGCGCGTGTCCAAGCATCTTGAGCCCGCTTCCCGCCCCC